ACTTGAGTCACAAACTCAAATCTTAAATGTAAGCCGGAGACATCAACATAAGAAATAAATTCCTAACCCACAGACATTGCACACAATCCTATAAACCTAATGCCACAGGTATATTCTGGACATTCGAAGACAAAATCTATCCTGTAACCCTACAATTCTTGATGCATACCAGAACCCCTACTTCCCGAAATCCCAAAATCTGCTACAACTTTACATTTAGTGAGTTTTTCTTTAGAAAATTCCCTTCAGATAGTTGCGAATGATTGGAAAAGACTACACCTGCAAGTATATCGAATACAGTTGTGTTTAGTTGATCTTCTCTAGTAATTGCAGTTGGATGTGTTATATACGTTAAAAATAAATTTTCTATATTGCCGGTTCATATAGACGAAATGAGTTTCATAGAATTAGCTTTGGTGGTATCAAAGATATTGGCAGTATGTTGATAGTAAAGAGTCCAAAGCCAAAGACCAATAAACCTCGAAATTGTGGTTGAAACTTCTGGAAAATACGTCATTCGTCAAGAAATTTATAGATACCTCAGATTTCCCAATCCACAAGTGTAGGTATACGAAGTATAATTTTAGAAAATCATCTGCAACCGTGCTTGCAGATTGCTTGAAATTTTGAAAAGATATGTTGGTTTGAAGTTGTCAGTAATGAAAAATAAATTCTCTAGATTCTAGATAGTTCATTCGAAGATAGAAGAAAGGATGCACTTTTATAACCGAATCGATTTTTTCGATTCAATTTCAACTGCCTTCAGAGATTTCAGGTATACCATGATTGCAAACAGACTTATTTTGCAGGACCACAGAGAAACTTACTAAATGTGAAGTTGTGATATCAATCAGGACTGGCTTTGTCTTAATTTCCGAAATATGCTTGCAGTATTAGGTTTCAGGGGGGTTTTCTGGTATTCACCAGAAGCTAAAGGGTTGCTAGGGTTGATTCAGTCTTTGAATATTCAAAATATGCAATAAACTTTCCAGGGGAAATCCTACTGAATTCAGAGTTTTGGATGCTTTTTGTGCTTAAACTAATTTAATGCAATTAAAAAAAATACAGGATCATAGAACCCATACCAGATTCGGTTTCTTCAAACATTTCATAGAGCCATAGAATACACTAAATATAAATATCAACCAGAGCATACAATTTCCAGTTGTAGAATTTCTTCTGGAAAACAGGGCGATGTGTATCTTTAAATATCAAGGAGTCCAAGTATTGACAACTGCCACGGAAGGTTTCAGCCATGTTTTCAATTTATTTTAACTGAATTCTCGATATGTGATTGGCTCTAGTAATATGTAAACTAGCCCTTTCTAAAGTACCAACAAAATTAACAATATTTTTGAAATTTTCGCCCTAAGAAAAACACATTTTTACTGAATTTTCAGTTTCACTGAGAACAGCTCTCAAAATTCGAAAATAATTATGTATAGTCGAAATAAGACAAGTAAATTAGGGTCTTGCTTTTCCAGCGTTTCGATGTTATTTAAAATTTTCTTCAGGATGCATTGCATGCAGGCACAGGAATCTGTAATAAATCATCCCAATTTTATCCAATCATCCCGTATACAGCGTGTCCCACTAGTGCGGGAAAGTCCAATATCTATGTTAAAATGAGGAATATATGAATTTTTCTTTTTATCGTGTTGCCACGTTTCTCGAAATGTACAAATTAAAAATATATTCGCATTTTTTCATAGAAATGAGATTTCATGAAAAACTAATGAATTTTGGTATAGAAGAGGGTATAGCAAAGTTGTAGAGAATTAAATTCTGCATTTCATGGTATGAAATTGTACAGGGTGTTGCATTTAAAAAATTCGAGATTTTTCAATTTTTCAATTGGCAATTTTCACATGATATTTTGGTCACCCTGTATAATGCAGGCAAGTTTTTGGAGCATGATTCGGAAGAGTCATCCTTACTAAACATCTAATAAAGAACGGGCTTAGTAGCTATTAGTATAACCTGTCAGTATCAGAAAATGTAAGCAGCCAATATCGACTAGAAAAACCTTTCAAGCGAGATACGAGATATCTCAAAAACTGTGAATATTTGAATAGAACTATTCTACACAAAGTACCCTTTATGTTTAATGTAGAATCCGAAAAAAATATAAAAAATATGTGTTTCATTTAAAAAACCAAAGTTGGTGTCTGGCCAGGAAAAGTGGAACACCCTGTATAGTTGAATATATTTTTAATTTGTACATTCCGAGAAATGTGGCAACACAGTAAAAAGAAAAATCCATATATTCCTCAGTTTAACATAGATATTGGACTTTCCCGCACTAGTGGGACACGCTGTATATCACATAAATATTTATTATCGCCAGATAACACTGAAAACATGTTCGTGTGGTTGAAATTTTAGTAATCGAAAATGTGGAAGCTATAATAAAAACGATATATTTCCTTAGAGGTGAGCAAGATGAACGATGACAGCTAGTAAAGTGGAAATGCAGTCTGCAACCAACGGATGACAATTATATATGGTTGGCCATGTCTGGTGATGTCTACTTAGTGTTCGTGGTACATTTGTAATTTAGTTTAGTTTCTCACGTTGACAACTGGAAGATCTATCTTAGTACTTTATATCCTTCACATATTTTTGTAGACATCTATACATTCTCTGGTTTTTAAAACAATAAAAACAAATGTTTTTTCCAGTTTGTTAACTATTCATATGTGCAACATTTAAATTCTGCAGTTACATCCTTTTACAACGTGTTATACTAATAAGGATGTATATAATCGGAAATCACAGTCTTGACTAGGCCAACGTTTCGAATTTATTTAAAATCTTCCTCATGGCTTATAAATAATAACAAGGAGATAAGAATATAGACCTAGACATAATTTAAAAACATATACAAGTACTTTGAAAGTAATCATACTTTAGAATTATCTCTTTATTATTATTTATATCCCTGACCAAGATTTTAAACAAAGTCGTATCGTTGGCCTAGTCAGTCAGTAAATCAGGACCCTGATTTCCTTGCTCTATTCCAATTATATTCGAAGGGCAGGAAACATGTACGAAATTGTAAAATCTGCGTACTCTAAGATTATTGCGAATTTCTCATTCATAGTCGGAATAGTGCATCATTTTGATGAGTGGTTACGATACAGATTGCTAAATCGGATGCATATTGAATGCATGATTAAGCACAAGGTATTAGCTGCATTCATATTGGCAATTCAATCCCAGACTTTGGAACGATGAAGGATTGTACTATTGACCTGGAAATAAGCGGGGAATAGAAGATGTAGTCTAATAAATGGAATGTCTTATAAAGAGGTTTACGTATTTGAATAATGACATACTGATATAGTTGAATGATGGATTTATAATAGCCAATGAGATTTTGGCGAAACCAGAATATTATAACAATAAGTGGAAAGGAATATTTGACTTGGAAATTTAATAAAAAAGTAAGACTAACAGGAATGTATGCAGAAGATGAATTATCCTTTCCAGGAAGGAAGTCTAGGATGGCATGAAATCGTTTAGACACCTCGATAAGGTTAAGAAATCAACAAGATTTGATCCAAGCTTGGGTGTCATGATATGACGCCATAAAGGGCGCGAGCCCTATTTGCCAGTTGCATTATTAAGACGTTTGTGCAGGAATGAGTAAATGATTACACTTAAAAATGATATCAAGTAACAGAAACAATAAGTACAGTGGTCTTATTGAGCGAGAATCACAAATCAATCAGTGCTTGATTGCTAATTGGGTAATGCGGGTTCAGGAATCATCTCAGAAGATTGTAAGTCAAGGTGTCTGCCAAGAGGAAGAGGAGGCTGTAGTATATGTATTGGCTGAATGTGAAGTCACATCAAGGTTATTTTGTATATTGTTCGGACAGAAAACACCGGAAACGAAGCTAAGTGAACTCTTGCCAAAGCTCTGGAATATAATTTAAAGACTAAAGTTAGATGAGGAGCTCTGTAAGATCAAGAAGTCCTACAATAGACCTAAGGTCAGTAACAGTGGAAAATGATTTACTGATGATATTGCTTGAAACAACTATTGTACTACATATTTGTCAGTATGCCGTAAATGATACAACTGACGAATGATCCAACTATTTTCGATGCCTTAACTAGAGATATGGTAGCAGTACACTATGTCTATGAACGATCCCAGTTACTCAATGTCTAGACCTTCAATACGATCATAATGGCAGAGAGTGGCCCGCAAATTTGCAAGTCACAACAGATTATCATCAATTATCTGTCAAATAGCACATTGAAGGAATAGGTTCCGCTAAGTCCAGAACCACTACCGCGAATTACTATCTAAAATTTCAATTATCAAATATAACTAAGGTCAATTTTTGCATAAAATTTTCCTTTTAAATTTTTAAGTAAGCCATTTCAATGGGAAATTCAATTCTCTAAATAATTTTTCCTATGAACTATAGTGAAATTTGGCTTTGTTTTCGAGCTACAATTAAAAAACTGAAAGGATTACATTTTCACCCCTATCTCCAATTTCCACCCTCTAATTTAATAGCACTCCGCAGTTTTTTCATCTAAAATGACCTTTTGAACGATTCATGCAAGGAAATTGTTTGAACGTCATAATTCCTTTTAACTCTTTTTTTTTTTGGATATAATCAATAGTCTACAACAGTAGTTTCTGTCTTTACTACCAAAACACTACCTTGGAAGACAAAGACAAACAAAACGGACTGTTATACCAAAGTAAAGACAATGAAATGAGACGTAAACCGCTTATCCTTTTGGAACCATTCCTAAAGAAAAAGCATGATGTTTCTAATGACGAAAGCAATAATAAAGAAAATATCCTTAATCTCATATTAACGCAGTGCATCATCAATATGTTTGGTATGAAAATATATTGAAAATATGTAGATACAGACACATTTTGTACCAAACATATTGATGTTACACCTATCGCAGCTTACAGCATCGATCTTAATCTCAAAACATTTTTTTAACAGAGTTGTTCCTTTCAGGTACTGGTACGACAGGGAGTCCGCGCTAGAAGTGGACGAGCGCATCCAAAAGGGCCTCTTCCTCTTCGCCTGCACCAACTCCTGCATGAACCCCATCGTGTACGGGGTGTTCAACATCCGGGCACGCCGCAAAGGCACTAAGGTGAGACCTAGGGCGTACACATACCAAAACTCGCAGAGCACCATGACGGTGACACACCCCACCATAGACACCAAGCTGCCGCCTATAGAGCTTTCCCATAAGAGTGTGGAATGATTCTTCTGCCATCTGGCTTGCCTCAAATCGCACAAAAGGTCCCCGATGTGGCTCAATTACAAAATTATTCATGCGTTATTTCCTTGTTATCCAGTTTTGAATTTAGTAAATGCAAAATTAATTTCTGATGGAAAATATGCGAGTTTTAGCAGATTTTACAACTTCGTAATCCTCTTATCGGACTATTATGACGCTTTAATCTTTTTGCAGTTCTGGATGCGGAAAGTTTAAATTGTACGCCTGGCAGCTATAATGTCTAAAAATGCATTTAGAATTACGACTTGCATGCCTGCATAAAATTGATTCGTAGATTAAATTTCCTCAAGTGGAGAGGGCAAATTTAATAACACAGAGAAATTGTGACCAAAATGTAAATTTACACATCCTTTATTATCCGAGATATTGCAGTTGAGGTTTTCGAATACTTTTTGGTAATAAAGCTTTAAACGCGTTTTTCTTTAGGTTCTGCAGCTACAGACAAATTAATTTATTCTTCTGGTTTAATTAATTTGACAAATTAGAATGTGTTCCAGGTTTTATCAGTTAGTTTTACTCGAAAATCAGGCTTTTTTTCGAAAAACATAAGAGAGTAGTAATTTATAGCAAAATGAAAGACGAATCCGAAAATATCGTGGTTGTTACCATAAAGCAGTGGCGTACTATTTTATTTAGAAAAATATGCCACCGATGCCTTGTATTTCCGCCACTGGAGCATGTAAATTTTAGGAAAAGCCCTCAGATTTTGGACAATGTTTACATAAATACATGTGCCCAATTTAAAATGATTTCACTAGTTTTTAAATTATTTAAAAAAATTAACTTAAAAGAATGTGAGGTTTCATTTTTGGTCACCATTTGTAAATCAGCCTGTATAATAAACTGATTCTTTTTTCCGAGATTTAAACGGTATAACGGACTAATACCGTAAATTGTAAAAATAGATTTGCTTTTCCACCTAAACGAAGCAGTAATTTTCTAAAATATCTCCTAAGGGAATATCCCAAGACCCAACAAAATCCAAATAACTGCATATTGCATGCAATTTTTTCCGCAGTAGCGGCAAAGGTATTTGAAATGGAATCCCTTTTCTATTAGGGTTTAAGATTCCAATTTATATTTTTATTATTAGAAAAAAGAATAGGTAATTTATTGTTTTCCTTAAATTTACACTTCCGAGGAACGAGATATTTATATTTAAATTATTTGTGCAGAAATAATGCCTTTATCTAAATTCGACGCACAGCCTACTTGACAAATTTCAATAATTTAAGATTCCTTATTTTTCTTGTCAAGTATTTAATATTTAGTTGCAAAATTCTGTAATTTATCTTGTCATATATGAAACCAGAAATTATACAATATTGGAAGTAGGTAATATTGGTCGTTTTACTGAAAGACGGCAATTTTATACTTGAAAGGAAAATATCTAGTTTTATGGAATTTCAATATAAAGTTCAATAAAATCAATTCTTACCTATTTTACCTATATTTCATTGTAGTCAAATAAAATTTTACTGTTTTCTAAAGTAGAAAACTATGCTTTAAAACGTCTAGATACATCAATTTTATGAGTCGTTTTCCGTCATACATGAAGTAACGGAGCCTCATAACATAGAAGTTTATGTATTCCAATTTTAGTAATTTAAGATTCTGTTGTCTTCTTTCAACCAATATTAAGTTGCAGTACCTCATTGAGCAGAGGATTTAAGAAACTTTAGAGGTGAATGCATTGATCAAAGCTCAAAGGAAACAAAAAAAGCAAGATTAACATTTTTTTTCTAATAAGTTTCCTAAGGAAAAAAGATGTAAAGAAAATTGGGATCGCTGCTAATTAAAAAAAAATGTATGGATTATTACTTAGTAACAATTCCGCAAAGAGTAGCTTTTTCCGAATTTATATTTCTCCAAAGTGGCAAGGTACGATATACCTACCTAAATTAAAGGAAAATAACATTAAATAAATTCATAAAGATAAAATGCAGTAAATGACTTGATACATTTTTATAATAATATAAGACAAACAGTATAGAAAAGTCGATACAGCAGATTTAAATTAAGTCATTTATACTTAAAAATATATATACAATTTCTGTAAAGAACAAAAATATCTACATACGAAATGATCCAATTTTACAAAAATTTTTTTAATGTTTAAATGAGAAAATAAATTACTAAATTCGTTTTAATGCAAAACCCTTTGAAGCTTGAATGAATCTTTTTAGACCTCTGTACTGTGAGGAATAATTAAGCAAACAATATATACTTACCTGAGACAAATTAGACACTTTTATCTTATATAAAATGAGTTTGTTATTTAAAATAATTAAAATACTAAAAGAAACATTTTTCGGGGTGGAACTTTGAGCCGTTTCTCGGGTAATTGCCCTTGTTTTTAGAACATTACACTGAAACAAAATATAGTGTAAGAAGTATAATAAGTTTTAAGTACACTGAAAAAAAAATTCACTCAAATTCACTCAGTTTTACTCAACAATGCATCAATTTCTGTTCACATTCGATTAAGTGAAATTTTCACTCTATTAGTATGAATACAACTAAACTTTTATGAGTGAAGCTATTGCAATAGAAGTGAGTGAAATTTACTCAAATCCGAGTTTCTGCTAAGTATCAAGTGAGTGACCTTTGACTCTATTATAAGTATGTAAAACCAATTAAGAGTTGACTTTTTCTCCGACTTAAATTGAACTATTACTGAGTAATTTTGTACTAGGAAAATATCCACTCACAGTGTAGTAAGCTATAAACCTGACCCCTGTGTTTAAAAAAAGTTCAATACCATCTTCAGTACTGTTCTTTGTAATACTAATAACGTTAAATGAATATTTACATAATTTACACGAATTTATATTATTTATAACATATTCTAGTAATTAAAACACTGCTAGTACTACGACACAAATCAGTCTAAATATGTGATCTATTATACCGCTACATTATAAGAAAAATTGGACTTATTTTCACTCAATTTCACTCAATTTTACTCAATAATTCAACTCAACTCAAAATCAATTTTTGTCCACCCGGTTGAGTGAAATTTTCATATATTAGTGTGAGTAGGTACAATTAGAATTTTGAGTGAAACTATCAATTTTACTTCAAATATTACCAAAAATGTGTAAAATTATCAAAATGACAAATATTGACTGAAAATTTACTCAATAATTTTACTCAATGGTTCACTCAGCCTTTAGCTGTGTAGCAGTGTTAGTACGCACAGCATTGCTACATGTAAGGAAGGTTTTGCTTGAATAAATAAATAAATGAGTAGGTCTTTAGTTTTTAGTGGTAGGCACACTGCAAAAAAATCGGTGTGAGTGAAAGTAATAAAGGTAGTAATCGGAGTAAATGATCGAGTACATTTTTACTCAATATTGTTACCTGAGGGGTTATTTCTTTATTTATCTTCTATCTACCACTATGACCAGTATCATAGCGGTATTAACTGACAAAAGAGTTTACTATTAACTTCTCGAAAGGGTGTTTATAATCCTAATTACACTTTAATTAATACGTGGGAACTTAGAAATGTTGTATGTTCAGAGAATGAATTTCAGGCACTTTCCATCCATTGCTTACGTAGAATGTAATCCAGTGAATGGCTGTACAGGGTGACACTGAAGTTGGAAGAAACAAAAAGAAACACCAAAACTTTCCAGGGGGGGTTTTAATAACAATAAAAATAAAACAAACTAACTAACGACACAACGGGCTCGAACAACATTACTAATTAATTAATTTATACGCGACAGCGTACCGAGATTCAGGGAATGCGAGACCCATAGCAAAATTTGGAATGACTATCCATTATTAAATTAACCCGAGACTCCAAAACTAAGTCGACTGCTCGATGTGAACCCAAGGAAAAACTGCCTTTTTCGGAGATCTCTCCTGAATTCGACACCTCGCTTCGACACGCTCATTTCTTGGGTCCAGACATTTCTGTTCTTATCTTACTGGCGGGAACCCTGAATATCGGGACGCTTTGGTATAACTAACAGTTATCTAATGGACTGAATTTACATTTATATAAATAATTATGTGACTAACTGGACTTACAAGTGACCCTGACCTTCCTCTAGTGACTCCGTGTAGCGATACGGGACGGATTAGTCAACTTTATTTAATCTATTCCTATAGCTTGGAAAATCCGCCTAAAAAACAGCTATTTGATCTATTATTATTTTTCAATTATTATCAATTTAACAACTTATTTAAATATCTTGGAATTATTTCGTATGCATTTCGCGCGTTATTAAAAATATCGATTTTTCTCTTTATACCAGATGCTCAACACATGGACCCGATGGCCTAAGTGAACTTGTTAAAAAATATTGCTAAATATCATGAAGCCCTCTCCGAAGGACAGCCTTGTGGCGACGCTAAACCTACTTGAAACCCTTAACTTTTCGATAAATTAGTGTTGACTGAAATATTTTTCTTTTTAGCCCATCAGTTCCGAAAACTAACAAATAAATTACCAAGCGGCCTGGCTTTTGTTACAATATTGAGTATTTTGATAATTTTACTCAGTTACGATAATATAATATTTGAACTAAAACTGAGTATTTTCACCCGTTAAATAAATCCTCCAGATAAACTTGTATTTGCTACACTTGTACCTAAATCAGAGTAAATGTCCTCATTACTGAGTGAGTAATGTATATTAATTTAGAGTGATTTGAATGGCGCCGTGAAGATGGCACCACCCACATATTGCTTCTGTAATCTCGACCACAGCTGATAGGGGCCCGTTAGATGCTCCAGAAAAGCGAGATCGCCACTAAAACAGGCCTTAGCCGGCGGCGGTGGGTCTTAGCTGGCAGGTCTCAGCCAGGACAGGAGAAAGCCCCGCGAAGTGAATTCATTTCAATACTCAAAATCATTTATGCATTTATTTTTGCACTCAATATTTAGTAAATTAAAAACCGAGTCTGAGTAAGAAATGACTCAATAATAGTTAAATTTAAACCATATTAGAGCAAAAATCAACTCTAAATTGGTTTTACATACTTAGAATAGAGTAAAGTCACTCAATTGACAGTTAGCTGAAACTTGGATTTGAGTAAAATTCACTCACATCAGTTGTAATAGTTTCACTCATAAAATTTTAGTTGTACTCATACCAATGGAGTGAATATTTCACTCAATCGGGTGTAGACAGAATTTAATGCATTATTGAGTAAAATTGAGTGAAATTGAGGGATTTTTTTTACAGTGCATAAAATTGGCGTCTTTCCACTGCCTGGGGAATGCACGTATATCATTTGCCCCTTTTCGATTTAACTTAAGTATTCCAACTTTTTGGTATTAATAATAGAGAATTTCATTTTTTTTATCCCATTTGTGTCGGTTCTTATATGGTACACCATGTATATCAGAATCTTCGTCCCATTTGGCAAAATTCATTAACACGGTGAAGATCCCACAACCTATTATCCGAATCCGTTCTTAAACATTTTAATTAAAGTAGGTATTACTCGCACAAACGATTCGGCATTTACGGGTTCGCCCTCACGTAAACGCGCCCAAAGACTTTCAAATCAGTCGAAAATTAAGACCGGAAACCGCTCACAGGGGTATTTGTTGGCTGTA